CACACACACACATACAGCCACCCACACCCACACACACACACAAAGCCACCCACACACACACACACACACACACAGCCAACAGCAGGCGTAAAGCGGACCAGGCCTCACCCCTCCCGTCTTGGTGTGCGTCCGTGCGCTGCAGGTGTGGCGGCGGTGCTGCTGTCGTCCAATCGGATGGCGTCTCCGGTGCAGGTCCTGCAGACGATGCTGCACCACTCGGTCAGCAACGCCATCAACCTCCTGTCCCTACCCGAGACACACCGCCTCACCACTCCCAACCTGGTGGCAGCCATGGCGACCGCCGGCGCCCCGTCAGGTGAGCGGCGCCCGCCGTCCAGCGGGCTGACCCCGGCTGACCCCAGCTGACCCCGGCCGCTCCGCTTCCCTCCCCAGGCGGGGAGCTCTTGTGCCGCTCGGTGTGGTCCGAGAGGTCGGGGCTGGCCAGCGAGGACCGGGTGGCCGCCCGCTGCCGGCTGGGGGAGGAAATGATGGGCTGCAGCGGCTACTCTCCGGACGGCGTCCGGGGCGGGGAAACCATCGCCGTGAGTCCAGTCAGATCTCAAACCACCCCCCCGAGGTGAAGTTTACCAAGAAAACCGAAACCAAAATCGGGGCGTGTGTGTTCCCAGGTGAGCGGCGGGCGTATGGAGTGCGTGGCGGTCAACGGGCCGGCGGGGAACGGCGTGCACGCAGTGGCCCGCTGCTGCGCCGTAGCCGGCCTCCAGTGCCAGGCCCACGCCAGCGCCCGGCCGGGGGGGGACGCCCAGTGCACCGGCCAGCAGCACCACCTGACGGGTGGGTCACACGTCTGTCCCGCTCCCATGCTGACCGCTACACCTGACCCGGTGGTTTCCCTTTTTTCTACTTCTTGCTGAGAGTTCAGAAATTCACATCCATCAGCTGGCGAGGAGCCAAACCAAAGAGAGAGTGCTGCATGTTACACTGATTTAATATTCCCAGAGTTGTTTATGGGTAATAATTAGCTTTAAAAAAATCTTTTAGGAGACTGTATTTAAAAAAAAAAAAATGCATAAAACTTGCATAAAGAAGGAAACTGTAAAAATAAATATAAAAATGGTTGTAAATGTAGCAGGTCAACACTTTTTAAGAGCTTCAAAATGAGTGAGTGGGTATCCAACAGGGAGCGGTTCTGTATTATTGAAGCTTCGGTCATCAGTGGTCATCACTATGTCTTAAGCTTCCCATTCTAAAGCCTCTGAGAGTGATTCGGGCTGTAGATTAGAGGCCAGGCCGTGCTTTCAGACGTCCTCTTCAGCCTCTGCTCTGCCTCTCGCGCACAAACTGCACCAGCTTTTTCCATTCTGCTGTATTTAGAACATCACGGTCAATTACGTTGCCATGGCAATCACCCAGAAAGAACAACTCCTAACCCGCGGAAATGTCAGACACTTGTCTGTGTGCTGCTGAGCTCCCCCCCCCCCCCCCGGCCTTTTTTTTTTTTTTTTTCTTCTCCGGGCTTTTGTGACTCTGACACGTTTTAGCGTGCGGTTTTTGTGCCCGTCCAGGGTGCACCACGTGGTCAGAGTCCGAGGTCCTGTCCGACTCGCGGCCTCGCCACGGCCTGGGGGGGCGCTGCGAGGCGCCGGAGGGCGTGGCGTCCCACGCCGTCTGCTGCCACGCCCCCGCCCTCCAGTGCCAGCTGCTGGAGGACACATCTGCACAGAGCGAGCAGGTGCGTGGCTCACATCTGTCCAGCTGTGGCATCCTGGATCCCCCCCTCACCCCTCACCTCTGACCCCTGTCCTCTCTGCAGATGGAGCTGGCCTGCCCCGCCGGCTGGACCCTCACAGACTGCAGCGCCGTCTCTCAGGGCTCCGCGGTCGCAGGGCCGGTCGCCAAGGGCAACAGTTGCCGCGTGCGCAGCATCACGGGGCTCGGGGGGGCCGCGGCCGTCGCCGTCTGCTGCCGCGTGGCGCCCCCCCGGCAGCCCGCCCCGTCCTCCTCCCCCTGAGGGAAACATCAGGGCTCCTTTACCTCTTCTAGCCCACGGAAGGGGCCTTCGACCAGGAAGCGTGTGTCCAGCTGCTGGCCGGGGTTCGGTCATCTGATGCTCCATTCTGTGACGATGCCATAACATCTCATAAGCCATCTCTAAAACAACCTGACATACGTAGGGTTTAAAAAACAAACAAGTAACTATAAATATATATATTCATAACCAAATATTTTTGTATCTTTTTACTATAAAAAAAGGATGATTGAAAGTTCACATGAGTGTACAATTTCAAAACCAAGTATCCATTTAATGTAACCTCTGCATGCTGTAACTAAAACAATGGAAACCAGTTTAAGAGCAAGTGTGACACAATACTGCTTTAAGATGAATAAAAAGAGACATGAAAATACACGTTTCTTGTGTGAAGAAGCTGGATTGAATGTGGGGAATGCAGCGGTGGAGGTTTCCAGCTGTTCCTGGGGCGGAGCTGAAGAATCAGGGAGCTGTGGGTAGTCCTGATGATTAGAAGCTTGATTACCGACCTAGTTACTCCGTTTTGCATCCATTTTTAAACAGTGGGCTCAAAGTGTAGTTTTGCTTTTTATAGAGCAGACACTTTGCATTCTCCGGACTGCAGACTTGACCGTTACTGGCCCGTACGGCGTCTGAAATGAAGCTAATGGAAGCATTTGACTGAGGTTTTACAAGAAAACAAGAAAAACAGATGAAAGGCAAAAAATGCCATTCTGATCATTAAGCAAATGAACATTAATAACCAATGAAATAATTAATTAAAATACAGTATTATTGTAAATATTTCCATTTTAAGGTTCTTAAAAAAATGAAAGAAAAAAATCCACTGGCATACTTTGATAATTGCTTTCCATTTTTATGTAACATCTGATTTGAAACGGCTCTGGTCAAACATGTCCATGAGTCAGAAGCCTGAGCCCACATCTCCCTCCCACGCTGATGGAGTGGGTGAATAATAACAGTAAGGTAGTCGGTCCAGGTCCAGCTCCAGCTCCCAGAGACCACAGTGAGTGTCGCAGTCTTTAAAAGGTCATGTCCAGTAAAAGACATTGGGTCTTCATGTTGGACATGCATGCTACACACAGTTACACATATGGCTTAAATATACCACATTTGGTGCTTCAGAATGGCCCTGATGTAATCAAATTATCACGCCTCCTCATTTAAAAAAACAAAACAAAATTTAAATAAAAACAGTGTCAGAAAACAAAATCCCCTAAAGCATAAATGTTGTGAATTTATATTCTTTTTAGCACACCTGCTAATTTGCAAATAACGGGCGAAGTAGGCTATGTTTGGAACAGATGGCATCTTGGAAGACGCCATCTTGGATCAAGTTTTTCCAAAGGGGAAATTGGTCGTATGCTACATCAAAGGTCAGAATTAGTCTGAGATGGATTTTGAAAATGGATTCCCTTAAGGAAATTTTTTTTTTTTTTTTGTGGTTCAGAAGTCATCAACGCAGAAGGTGGCAGCAAAAACCGGGAACTAGCCTGTGACGCGCAACTATTGATGTGTTCAATGTGCCAATGCTCCAGACACAGTCTGACACAGAGGCACCCCCATAGGTTACTCACTAGGGGGGCCAGATGTGTCATTTTCCCCTTTAGTTTTTGAAATGGAATGGGAAAGAAAACAAATCAAATCAAAATCAATCTTCCACTTGTTTGACATGAGGCTGAAATTTAAATCGCTAGCTTGACTTCACATCCGTCCAACTTCATGAAGGACCATGAAGTGTACTGAAAAAGCAGAAAAACCACGTTTAGCAACAGGTTGTGCATTCCAGTTTATTTTTATAACAAATTTCCCCTTAATCAAACTCTGATGTACAAATTAAAACGGAGTTTTAACATGCATTACAGATTCCTGCCACGACCTCAGTGAATTGTCAACCTTTGAACTACAGTAAAAACCCGTATTGACGCCAATCCCAGGACCACGCTCGCTCTTCCCTCCCTGCATCGCAGAGTTCAAACTAAAGACTGATTGGATGTGTCCCCCCCCCCCCC